GTAGAACCAACCTATTGTAGATGTTGCTTGTATCTACAAAATGCCTCCCCAGCACCGCTAGGTGAGCGTTTGAACAGCTGAGTCTGTCATAGCTGGCATCTCCCTCTAAATAACGAAGGTGGATTTCCTACAGGTGCCCTTGCGGCTCATCTGGAAGAGGTAAGAATCTTCTTCTCAGGTTTGGGCAGCCATGGCACAAAGGAGGGATCTGGGAGTGTGATCAGCCCTGTCTCCCAGCCCCAACACACCAGCTAAACAGCTGTACCTGTGGATGGTTTCACGCATGCTCGGTGTCAGCTGCCTGGCTCGCGCTGTGGTCTGCAAGTCTGATTTTCTGTGAGTCTGAACTTTTCCTCCAGGTGTGCCTCATGGCTTTGTCCTTAATGAGTCCCTCTCAGAGAGCATGGCCTGCCTTCACGGCACGGCTACCTTTACACGGGGGCTCTTGACGCAGCAAATTCCTTGGCTGCAGAAGTTGCTGCCTGCTCTGCCCTCTGTTTCCCCATCCATCCATCCATCCATCCATTCATCAGCAAGCATTGTGGAGAGGTTGCTGTGAACCAGGCCCTGTTGTAGGCACCTGGGACCCATTGGTAACCAAGGGAGACAAAGGTGTCTGCCCTCAGCAAGCTTCTGTTCTCCTGGGGAGAGAGGGATCTGAAAAATGATGAGACATGTCTGACGGTGATAAACGCGGTGGACGATCACAAAGCTTGGAGGACAGGGATGCTTGGGAGAACCATTTCCCCTCTCGGGGGGGGGGGGGTCAGGATACGTTTCTTCGAGAAGTTGATATCCCAACACTCAAAAGATGGAAGAAGGCAAGAGACGGAGACATGAGCTTCTGGGGTGGGTGACGGAACACTCCAGTCGGAGCTCAAGGCAGGAGAATGTTTGGCACTTCTCAGGAAGGACGGGGGTGGGGGGCAATCTCCATTAAGCGAAGTGGAAAAGGCCGGAACAGGAAGAGCAGAGGCCAGAGATGCAGCCGCCGTGAGATCTGGTAGCTCCGGCTGTGCTCTGAATAAGATGGGACCCACTGGAGCGTGTCCCCGTCAGACCGAAGCTCTCCGTCCCCAGCTGTCTGGAGAGCGGGCTGCTGAGCCGCCTCCAGAAGCCGCCCCCTGTCCAGCCCATACCCTCCCCTGGGCAATGTAGGGGTGAGAGAGACCCAGCCTTCTGGCCTCCGCTGGGGACAATTTCTGAAGTGCATTCCAGCCCCAGAGCTCTGGGGATTGGCAAGGTGGCACTGCCTGCAGCCGGACCACGCCCCCGACCCAAGTGTCCCCTCCAGGGGCTGCCCGCAGGGGACCCTCCCCACTGGACAACCTGCATGCCATTTCCACCAGAGTCTGGTTCTTGGGAGGAAGAGTAGTGAGGGGGAGGGTCTTCGCCCCCCCAAAGCTGCACGGCCTGCCCCGCGTGGAATCCGAGGGGGTTCCTCTGTGCGAGTGGGATCTCCCTTCCCTGCTGGGAACCACCTCCTCAGTGTCCCCTCCCTCTGCACCGCCTCCACGCCACCGAGCACGCGTTTCCAAGGTGGGGTGTGTGGATGCCCCCTTGCCCAGGATGAAGAGCGGTACTGGGTCCGCCATCCTACACGTTCCTGAGCGCCGGGGCTGCGTTCCCAACTCCCAGAACCAGCTGCCTACGAGGCTGCCGGAGAATTGATGCTTCTCTCCAATAGAAAATCCACTCACAGGTGAGACTCCAAACAGGAAATGCCCACCTGCTACTCCCCCACCTCCACGGTGACCTTGGCCTGCCCCACGCCCACTTCTCCCTGTAGAAGGTGCTGCTGTCAATTAAACAGACCACAGAGGCTGCGGTGACGAATCAGTCCCGGGGATGTCATGTGCAGCATGGTGACTTAACTAATGCTGCTGTACGATCTATCCGAAGGCTGTTAAAAGAGTAGATCACGGGGCGCCTGAGTGGCTCAGTCGGTTAAGAGTCTGATCTCAGCTCAGGTCATGGTCTCAGGGTTGGTGGGTTCGAGCCCAGCATGGGGCTCTGTGCTGACAGCTCGGAGCCTGGAGCCTGCGTCTCCCTCTCTCTCTGCCCCTCCCCTGCTCATGCTGTCTCTGTCTCTCAAAAATAAATAAATGCAAAAAAAAAAAAAATTTAAGAAAAAAGAGAGTAGATCCTAAGAGTTCTCGTCACAAGGGGGAAAAAATTGTTTTCTTTTTCTTTTGTCTCTATATGAGCTGATGGATATTAACTAAACTTATTATGGTCATCATTTGATAATATATGTAACTCAAACCACTAGGCTGCACACCTTAGCCTTATACAGTGCTGGATATCAAGCACATCTCAAAACTGGGGAAAAAATAAATAAAAGACCGCAGAGGTTCTGGTTAGAGACGAGCCAGCAGCCCCACACGGCCAGCCCTGTCCACAGGTCTAATAGGCCTCTAACACGCTGCTCTCTGCAGAGAAATCCATCCTGGAATGTCTAGAATATACGAACAACACATCACGTTAATAAGAAAAGATAAGCAAGCAAATAGGAAAATGGCCAAAGGATATGAATTCACTGAAGAGGAAACAGGCCAACCGACAGAAGAGACGATGCTCCGCCTTACCAGTAAAGCAGGGAAATGCAAATCAAGTCACCCACGAGATAGCGTCTCATCCACCCCCGTAACTGGCAAAAATTGGCTTGATGATATCATGGGCCGTTTGACGTTGAAGGAACCAGTTGCCCGGCACCCCCTGAAAACGTGTGTGTCTCAGGAGCGGCTGTTCCCCTGCCGGGGCGGGGGTGGTCCCGGAGCCCCCGCCAGGTGCCCAGGAGATGCGTCCCCGGATGCCACATTGGAAACAACTGTGTCCGTCACCTGGGCAGTGGCTCGGATGCTGCGTAATCACACGGTGGGATATTGCTCAGCGATTCAGACGCTGAGCCCGGATCTACGCGGACCAACATGGCAGAGTACCTTTAACAGTCAGGATGGAAACCCATTGGCTTCACAGGTGTAATTACTTCGGGGAGTGCGTGATGGTAAGAGGCTGGTCACAGGGGACTTTGGTTTTCTCTGGCATCTTTTTACTGTTGTAAAAGAGAGCATATGGATGTATTTCTTGTCTCACTAGAGCACAATGTTAGGAGCCTGCCTTAGGGAGGGGGCCTTTCCTTCCCACCTGGGCTCACACCTGCACTGCACCTGTGAGCTAATCCAAGTCCCCCGCTGGCTGACAGTCTTCCCAGGACCCCAGTGAGCCCCCACCGTTACAGAGCCCCCAGGGTTCTTTAGTCCACTTCCTTTTTCACCCTGCCAACCACCCCACAGACCGATTTGCAAAGGCACGGGCAGAAGGCAGGGTTCCCGGTGGGAGTGAAGGATGCACAGTCGTTTGTCTCAGCCAATGCCTAGAGGGCCGTCCTCCCTGCCCATGAAGCTGGCCACCCAGGGCGAGCCCACGCTTGGCCCACCGACGGGCCCAGAACATACTGTCTAATGGCCCCTTTGGCTCTCACCTCTGCAATCTCCTTGCACTCTTCCTGCCCCCAGTGCCACTGACATCCTGATGGGCTGGCAGGACCCAAAAGAGCCGTAGACCACCGAGAAAGACCCAGCAGAAGACTCTCAGTGGGAGGGGCAAAAAATTAAGGGACTATGCAGACCTCACGTGAGGTCCTCCCAGAATAGGTTTGCTTGCCTGCCCCTCCCGACCCCCCAATACACAACACCTCCCAGGCTGAAGGCCAGAGGCCTCTCCAGAGCAACGTGGGCGCCCTTCGGGTGATAGAGGCCTCAAGGTCATACCATGTGGCCGCCACACCCCTCTGCCATCTTTGTTGTTCCTTGTCTCCCGTTCCTACTGTGCCTGGTGCACAGGCTGGTCCGAGCCCTGCATCCAGGGCAGGGGGGAACAGATATGTGCCCTGGGAGGGCTGGCCTGCAGTATCACTGTGGCCAGCTGCTGCTCCAGAAGGAGCTAGGCTGGATTGCCACTGGGGGCGCCCCCAACCAGCCCTGAAGTTCATCCTGGACTGCTGGGGGCAGCCCCCCAGGGAGGTCCAAGCTGCGGGTCCAGCGAGGGTGGCGGCACTCCCCACCTCTCTAAGGAGTCCATATCCGCTTCTGGTTCTCCTGCCCAGGGTTTTCCTGGCCCTTTCTGCCATCCATCTCAGCTGGGCCACCTCTCAGCTGAGCTCCAGTTCAACTTCCTCTTTTCTTTTGCCCTCTTACCCCACTTTACCCCATTTACTAAAGCGTCTTCATTTCCCACCATCCAGAGACCAACCCCCAGCCCCTTGTCCCACCAGATCAGCCATGGAATTTGAATGGGAGTCTGAGAGTCCAGCCCAGCAAGAGAGCACCAGGTGCTACCTCTCTGCTTTCCGGGGACAATCCCTGGCAACCACTCCAAGGTGGCGGCCTGATCCTGGAAGTCAGATCTGAAAGGGACCACCCAGGTCCTTCTGGACTAGCCAGGAAGGATGCCTGGGTCTGGAGGCCCCACCTGCCCCATCTCTGCCACCCAGGCTCCGGGAATCCTGAGCTGATACTCACAGGTGAGAACGCCGTGGCCTTGCAAATATTCCCCTTGGCCTAGGCAGTGGTCCTGGGTGTGGAAAGTCTGAATTCTACGCCTAGAACCGGGGCTTAAGTTCAAATCCCAACTCTACTGCTTTGCTGTGTGACCTTTAGCAACTATCTTTACCTCTCTGAATCTGATAAGACTGCTGCGAATATTTCCTACCTCTGAATACAACTGCAACGTTCCCATTTGTCATGATTTTTTTTTTTTTTTAAGCCAAGTTTTGATGACTTCCAAAAGTTTGGGAATCCCTGGTGTAATCCCATAGTTTCTTTTTATAAGTTCTTGGTCTGCTTACTGTTCAAAACATGAATTACAGAAAGGAAAGGTGAGAAGAGAAATAGCCCAGAGGACAAAAAAAAAAAAAAAATCTGCAGAGTTAGGACAAACTGCTGGGTGACAGCTTTGAAATGAAGCCACAGGGCTGTTAATTGCATTCTCTTTGCCCCCAGGCGTGTGCTCCTCTGTCTCGTCTGGTGTGGGATCAATGTGAGGGATGGTGAGCAGGATTAAGGAAGGCAGACTTTGATTAGGCCATCAGACAGGTAAAAAGGTATTGAGCCGACTCCTGGTGACTTATCACTAGATACAGTTAATCAGTGCGTGTGTTTGTGTATGTGTGTGTGTTCTTTGTCTCTCTGTGTCTCTGTTTCTCTACCCCTCTCTCTTCCTCTCTCCTTTGGTCCCCACACTATCGCATTGAATCAAGTGTGTGTATTCACACACAAGAGTCCTTGTGACTTCCTGTGGGAATCCAATTTTTAGCGAGTAACCAAAGGTTCGTAGTAGTGGACTGGTCTGGGGTCTTGGTTCACTTAACACATATTTCCTGAAGACCTACTATGTGCCAACGAATCTTGCAGGTGGTGGGGAAAGAGCAGAGAACAAAACAGATGGTTGGGATGTCCCATTGGATCCAAACAGGTGGTCAACATTCCCCGTCCACTAGTGACGAGCATACAAAGAAACACACGGGAGAGAGGATGGGAAGAGAAGAGGGATAAGGATTTTGGATAAGGTGGTCATAGAGCCTACAGCATAGTCAGCTGATAGGAATCTTTTAAATAACTACAGTACGTCCAGCACTGGGTTCTAGGGGAAAAAAATAGGTCTTATTCTCCAACTGAGCCAGGAAGCCAAGCTCATGGACTGAGAGTGGAGACACCTGATCAGACTGTGTGGCTTAGGTGTGGGCATTACAGTGGATGCAGGAGAGGAAAGTCTCCTAGGGTGCACCTGCTAGGGTGGAAAATTGGGGGAAATGATAACACTGAGAAGATAGGGCAGCAGGAAAGGGGGGGTCCTGGGGTGGAAGGTGAGGGGGAACTCTGTTTTGAACACGTCGGGCTGGAGGTTTGCTGCCCGCCTTGTCATGTTCGGTTTGCTCGAGTGCGAGAAAGCTGGGATTGACATCAAAAAATGGTTATTGACAAGCGTTTCAAATTAGCAAGTTATGCACAGAAGTATACCCCCGGGTTGCATTTCTTTCTATCTTGCCCTAAATAGTGACAACCACTCCTGACTGATGCAGGCCGAGCCTTGTGCCAGGCACTTTACATGTGTGGTGTCTTTGAATCCTCCTCAAACAGCTGAAGGAACATGGTTATTATTATCCTCATTTTATGGAGAAAGAATCTGAGGTTAGGAGAGACGACATAATTTGCCCACATTCTGTCCCTCCATTAAATAAGAACCTGTTGAACACATACCCACACGGAACCAGAATTCAAATCCAGGTCTGTCTGACCCTGAAAGCCTTAGTGTAATCTGATTTTTGGTGTTAAACCGTTTTCCATAAATAGGCTTCATTTTTTTTTTTTAACACAGTAAAGGCTTATACTGAGCTATTCTCACAGAGTTCTACCTTGTTTCAAAATAAGCAAGAACACATAGGAAAGTGCCCCATAACCCAGAGTCAGAGGTCCAGGGGCACAGGGAACGTGGCAGGTGGTCTATCGGGCAATAGCACATCACTGTCACCCCTGGGTAGCATGCGTGTGCTGACAGCCGCCTCTGGGTTGCTCACCTTGGAGATGCAAAGCCATAGAGGGTTGGCAGATGGACCTGTAACCTCGGTTTTGCCTGAGCTGGAGTGTTCCTGGTGGGAGAGGGGTTGGTGACCCGGATGCCTTGCTCAGGAGGGGGCCACAGAGGTGAGCCAGGCTGAACTGGGGTAAAGATGCTACAGTGAAACAGGATCAGAGAATCTCCTACCCCAATACCTAGTGAGACGCATTAAAAATAGTGAAAACAAAGGGGAAAAACTATTTTTAAAAAAACAGTCAAAAATGGATGAGTAGCAGGGCGCTTGGGTGGCTCAGTCAGTTGAGCATCAGACTCTGGATGTCAGCTCAGGTCATGATCCCGGGGTCGTGGGCTCGAGCCCGTGTCAGGCCCCATGCTAACCTGCTTGAGATTCTCTCTCTCTCTTCCTCTGCCCCTCTCCCCAGATCATGTGCTCTCTCTCTTAAAAAAAAAATAGATGAGTAATAATCTATAAGAAATAAACCTTACACCGCTTGTAAAAATAATCACCATAAACAGAAATGTTCAGGGCTGGGGGGCGGGGGGATGTGTGTGTCCTGACCTTGGCCCCGTGCCAGAGAAGTGACTGGGAAGGAAGATATCCTGGAGGATGGGGAATGGGGGCTGGAGAAGTTGATGAAGTGTCCAGTGCTGTGTATGGGGAGGAAACCGAGCCCACTGACCCTACTGCAGGGGTCACAGCCTGGGCCTGATCAGGGAGTGGCCCTGATCTCCACATTTGCTGGAATCCCTAGAAAGAAAATGGGTTCCAAGCCTCCCCTAACCAAATAAGCTTCCCCCACCCACTCTCATGCCCTCAGGCTACAGCAAAGCAGACAGAAGGAAACCCTAGCCTTCCTAGAGGAGAAGGGAAATGAAGGGACAGGGGTAAAGAAATGAGGAAAAGGGCACCTGGGTGGCTCAGTTGGTTGAGTGTCCGACTTCAGCTGAGATCATGATCTCACGGTTTGTGAGTTCAAGTCCTTCTCAGCACATTTCCCTTAGGCTAACATCCCCCATGAGGCTAAGATAGCTGCCAAGGTTCCGGGCATCACAGAGACAACCTCACATCTCAGTGGCCAGAATTTGGTCACCTGCTTCTTCCTAAACCAATCACTGGCTAGGGAAATGGCATTACTAGGATTGGCTTAGACTAATTAAGACCCACCTCTGCTCAGGGCTTCCTGGAGGAGAGTGGACACCCAGACAGGTCTGGGGTTCCAACAACACAGAGCACAATAGGGGGCATGGAAGCAATGGCTTTGAGTGAATAACCAACCAGTACTCCACCCTGGTTAGATCAGCCATCCCAGGATCTTTGTCTAAACACCCAAAAGGGTCCCAATGAACCCAGGCACAAAGGAAAGCAGGTATAACAGGGAGTGTGGGGAAAAAAAAGTCTATATTTAAGAGTGTGATAGGCAGTTCTTTATAATTATCAAGATTCTGACTGATGGAATGGGCAGGGCAAAGGCTGGGCAGTGTTCCAGGACCATCGCAAGACCCTGGGATTTGGAGAAAATGGACAATCCCCCAGAGTCAGCCTTTGGCTCATCCATCCCCGGGCCATGGCAGGTGGATGGTGGAGATGACTTCATATGCTCTCAACTTTCAGTCATAGACGCAACTGAGAGGTCCCGGAAACCAACATCCACATCTTTTTTTTTTTTTATTTAAATTCCAGTTAGTTAACATACAGTGTAACATTAGTTTCAGGAGTACAACATAGCGATTCGTCACTTTCATACAACACCCAGTGCTCATCACAGCAGGTGCACTGCCTGAATCCCCGTCATCTATTTGACCCATACCCCCCACCCACTTCCCCTCTGGTAACCATCGTTTCTCTACAGTTGAGAGTCTGCTTCTTGGTTTGTCTCTCTCTCTCTCTTTTTTCCCTTTTGCTCATTTATTATGTTTCTTAAATTCCATATATGAGTGATATCAGGGTATTTGTCTTTCTCTGAGTGACTTATTTTGCTTAGAATAATACACTCTAGAATGTGAGGGCGATCTGGCTGCGACATCTGTCACCCCATTGATCGCCAGGGTTGATTTGGCTGATCTGGCTGGCTAGGCGGGTGTCCCCTTCCTCCCTCACCACTCCATGTGCGTCCCTCCCGAAGCTGCATGCTCGGTCAAAGAGGACGACCTTCCCCTATAGAGGAGGACCGTTCTTTGGTCAAGGGTATACGAGTAGCTGCACTCCCCTGCTAGAACCTCCAAACAAGCTCTCAAGGTCCATTTGTAGGAGAACGTAGGGTAGTCAAGCTTCCAAGACTCCAGAAAAAAAAAAAAGAATAATACACTCTATTTCCATTCACATTGTTGCAAATGGCAAGATTCCATTTTTTTAAGGCTGAGTAATATTCATATATATATTCATATAGGGCTGTCTATATATATAGGGCTCTGCCCATAATAACAAAGCTGCTATAAACATTGGGGCCCATGTACCCCTTCAAATCAGTATTTTTGTATCCTTTGGATAAATACCTAATAGTGCAATTGCTGGGTGGTTCTAGTTTTAATTTTTTGAGGAACGTCCATACTGTTTTCCAGAGTGGCTGCACCAGCTTGCATTCCCACCAATAGTGTACGGGAGTTCCCCTTTCTCCGAATCCTCGCCAACCTCTACAGTTCCCTGAGCTGTCCATTTTAGCCACTCTGACAGATGTGAGGTAGTATCTCATTGTGGTTTTGATTTGTATTTCCCCGATGATGAGTGATGTTGAGCATTTTTTCATATGTGGGTTGGCCATCTGGATGTCTTTGGAAAAGTGTCTATTCATGTCTTTTGCCCATTTCTTCACTGGATTGTTTGTGTTTTGGGTGTTGAGTTTGGTAAGTTCTTTATAGAGTTTGGATACTAACCCTTTATCTGATGTCATTTGCAAATATCTTCTCCCATTCCGTCGGTTGCCTTTTAGTTTTGCTGAGTGTTTCCTTCGCTGTGCAGAAGCTTTTTATTTTGATGAGGTCCCAATAGTTCATTTTGCTTTTGTCTCCCTTGCCTCTGGCAATGTGTCCTTTAAGTTGCTCCGGTAGAGGTCAAAGAGGTTGCTGCCTGTGTTCTCCTCTAGGATTTTGATGGTTTCCTCTCACATTTAGGTCTGTCATCCATTTTGAATTATTTTTGTATGTGGTATAAGAATGTTATCCAGTTTCATTCTTCTGCATGTTGCTGTCCAGTTTTCCCAGCACCACTTGCTGAAGAGACTGTCTTGATTCCATTGGATAGTCTTTCCTGATTTGCCAAAGATTAGTTGGCCATATGTTTGTGGGTCCATTTCTGGGTTCTCGATTCTGTTCCATTGATCTGAGTGTCTGTTTTTGTGTCAGTACCATACTGTCTTAATAATTACAGCTTTGTAACACAGCTTGAGGTCTGGGATTGTGATGCCTCCTGCTTTGGTTTTGTTTTTCAACATTACTTTGGCTATTTGGGGTCCTTTCTGGTTCCATACAAATTTTAGGATTGTTTGTTCTAGCTCTGTGCAGAATGCTGCTATTATTTCTATAGGGATTGCATTGAATGTGTAGATTGCTTTGGGTAGTATTGACATTTTAACAATATTTGTTCTTCCTATCCAGGAGAATGGAATATTTTTCCATTTTTTTTTGTGTCTTCTTCAATTTCTTTCATAAGCTTTCTATAGTTTTCAGAGTAGAGATCTTTTACCTCTCAGGTTAGAATTATTCCTAGGTATCTTACGGTTTTTGGTGCAATTGTAAATGGGACTGATTCCTTGACTTCTCTTTCTGCTGCTTCATTATTTGTGCATAGACATGCAATCGATTTCTGTACGTTGATTTTCTATCCTGCGACTTTGCTGAATTCATGTATCAGTTCTAGCAATATTTTGGTGGAGTCTTTTGGGTTTTCCATGTAGAGGATCATGTTGCCTTCAAAGAGTGAAAGTTTGATTTCTTCCTTGTTGATTTGGATGCCCTTTGTTTCTTTCTGCTGTCTGATTGCTGAGGCTAGGACTTCCAACGCTACGTTAACTAGTAATGGTGAGAGTGGACAACCCTGTTGTGTTCCTGACCTTAGGGGAAGAGCTCTCAGTTTTTCCCCTTTGAGGATATTAGCTCTGGGTTTTTTGTACCAACGTCCACATCTTGACCCTCCAGCTGACAGGGTGTGGTGGCAGGGAAGGGTCGGGCTGAGAAGCTGTGAGGGCCAGCTGCGGTGGGCTGGTCCCAGGGTGCACAGCCGCTCTGCTGCCTGCCTGAGGAGGTGGCCCTCTGGCCTGCAGTCGCCCACATCCTCCTGATCTGGTCACTTGTGCCACATCTTCCTTCAGCTGTTCCCATGACTCCCATTTCAGACTTTCTCAAGTTTCAGTTAATTTTATTTTATTTTATTTAAAAAAAAATTTTTTTAACGTTTATTTTTGAGACAGAGAGAGACAAAGCATGAATGGGGGAGGGTCAGAGAGAGGGAGACACAGAATCTGAAACAGGCTCCAGGCTCTGAGCTGTCAGCACAGAGCCCGACGTAGGGCTCGAACTCACGGACCGCGAGATTATGACCTGAGCCGAAGTTGGCCACTCAACCAACTGAGCCACCCAGGCGCCCCTGAGTTAATTTTAAATTGTGCCAAAATTTGGGGTGCCTGGGTGGCTCGATCGGTTAAGCTCTGACTTCGGCTCAGGTCATGATCTCATGATTTGTGAGTTCGAGCCCCACGTCAGGTTCTGTGCTGACAGCTCGGAGCCTGGAGCCTGCTTCAGGTTCTGTGTCTCCCTCGCTCTCTGCCCCTCCCCCTCTTGTGCTCTGTCTCTCTATGTCTCTCAAAAATTAAATAAATGTAAAAAAAATGTTTTTTTAAATAAACAAATTTGTGCCTAAATTTTCTTTGGTGTTTCTATTCCTTTCATTTCTACTTTGTGTCTACAAAGCTCTAAATCACATCATAAATGGGAAGGAGTCTCATTTTCCACACTTTGGGTACAAGAAAACACAATAAAGTCAAAATAGTATTTATTACTAAACACTAATTTGATACCACTGTCTGGAAGACTCTCAGCCCTAGACCCACTCCCTCTTCATTGGAAGAAGAGAGATTAGCAACGATTATAAAGGTGAAATCAAGGCATTCTCCTTGAAACCCCTAGAAGACTTGCAGCGTAATTTGTAGGGCAATAACCTCTCACTGTGGAATCTGAGAGGATTCCATGCTGGGAGCCTGGTTCTCTTCAATACGCCTCTTGGGAGCCACCATACTCCAGGGGACACCAAAGAGGTGTAAGAGCCTTGTCTCAGAGTCAGAGGAAGCTGTGCTCAGCCCATGAGCTAGGACTGGGGCAGCCATGTGGCCTCAGTTTCCTTATCTGTCAAAGAGGGTCCGTGGTCTCTGTCAGACTGGTAGGAGGGTGCAGGGAGAGAGCATGTGGAAGGTACCTGACAGCTTCCTCCCAAGCACCCTGGGATGGGTGGGGCAGAGGTAGAAGGGACCTTTCAGGGAGCATTTGTGGCTGAGAGAGCCCCCAACCGCCTCCCACCTTGCCACCATCCAACCCGCACGGCATTCCCAGAGCAGCCAGCTGGAACTGCCACGCCAGACAATGCCCCATGCTCCCTTGTGTGGAGAAGGACAGCGACTTCACGGGACTTCCTGGAGAGCACACTGCTCTGGGAATGCCTACACTTGTCCTCCCTTTGGGGCCAGTCACTCCATCACCACGTGTTTATTGGGTGTCTGTGAGCACTGCTGTGCACAAGTCAGACACCCTTGTGTCCGATTCTGATGGGCACTGGCAACGACTATACACACACCCAGAGGTCAGATCTTGCCCAGCCTTGGGGGTCCAGCTCTGCCCTGGGGGAACTGGACACTCTGGTCAGCCAGCCTGGGTCACGTTCCCCCACTGCCATGGTGGGGGAGGCGGAACAGTGAAGAAGGCAGTCCCAGGAGGTGAGACAGGATAGTTCCCACCGCCTAACTTGTGGACCTCAAGCCACTGACGGGCCATGAAACCAATGAGCGAGTTTGCCGGAGAGAGGGAAGGGACACTGCAGGGGGGTGGGGCAGGCGACAACAGCAGCCATCCTCTGCAAAAGGGTTTAGAGGACAACCCAACAGGAGTGGGCAGGCTGG